GACGTCCGACGCAGCCATAGACCTGCTCTCAACCTCTCAGGCCCACGTTCCAAACTACAAGTGTGGTAGGCGAAATCATCTGCTGGCTGTCCTTGAGGAATCTGACTCTGACAACTCCAGGCAGCTATCCAACATGCTGGGCATCTTCAAAATCCCACAGGTGAGAGGCTAGGTCAAAGCAATTTGAGGTGCAATGCAGAGAAAGCCAAAGATTCCCCAAATCATTTGTATGCATGTGTAATGGGATCAGGAGGCAAGGGCACTTTAAAGGCATCTTGTTCCCTGCACATCTCAGGGGTGGAGGGGAGGAAACGAGTTCACCCAGCAGGTCCCTTATTAATGGTTTACAGCTTCCATTGTTGTGCTGTCTAAGGCACTGAGCCCTTCCATGCCCAGACCCTTCCTCACCCCTGGTTTTAAGGCAAGGAGAGACATCACCTCTGCATTTCTCATGTCAAACCAACTAGCTCCAAGCTGATCTTTCATACATTTGGAGAATCTTGCCAGTGGTTTATATTTTCAACTCTCTTATGTGTCTCTGATAGAATCCTAAAGAATTGATGCCTCTTGTTTGCTCATCAGGAAAAATTAATATTCTTCACAAGGTCCTGATGTAGAGCAAACAATTCTGCTCTTCAGGGTTATCATATCATTGACATCCAAGGTAGTTTCATTTTTTTCTCAGGAATCAAATGCAGAAGGATCAGGACAATTCTGAGACCCGAGAAAGAGGTCCATGACATCTGTTTCTGACCAACTCTAAAAAAAAAATTCTTCTCTCACCTATGGGACGAAGCCTTGGGAAATGCATTTCAGGGTGAAAAATCTGGTGATGCTCAAGAGTTCATGCTGCTTCTGGCAACCATTTGTCATTGTTTTAAACTTATGGTGATAAAAACTTCATGGTTTAGAAAATAGTAAGCATTACTTCTTTCTAATCATGCATCATTCAGAAAATTAAAGGTTAAGTGTTTCATTCTCTTGACATGTGGAACTTGTCACTGATTTGGCGCTGAAATGAAGCACTAGATCAGTCTCTTCCTCTCTTTCCAAGGTCACTTATGCCTTCACTTCTCAGATCTGGGAAGAAAAAAGTCAGTCCCCTTCCTTCTACAGGATGGTCCCTGAAGAAGGCATCCAGTACCCAGGGATTGCCAGGCTGCTGCTGCATTTCCAGTGGACAATGGTGGGTCTCTTTTCTCTGGACACTGAGAATGGATTAAAGTTCATGAGAACCATGAAACTGGAGCTCCTCGGGAATGGCATTTGTGTGATTTTTTCGCACAGCATCTCAAAGCTGAAATCAGGTCATGCAGCAATGAGGAATCTTTCACTGAAGGAGTTGGCACAAATCAACATATTCATTTATTTTGAAGAGATTTTTTTCACGTTCTATGGATTACAGATTTTAGAAAATGTTGCTGAAATACATATGAAACCTATTCATGGAAAAGTCTGGCTATTCACATGTTTGCATGATTTTACCTTGGGTTTATATTGTAGAAATTGTGATTTCCAGCATGTCTGTGCATATTTTTCCTTCCATCCCCAAACAAGTAAGACAACCAGCTATGATGGTTTTATATATTTGTATAATACTATGCATGCCTTTGTGAAGAGTGCATTCAAGTGTTCGTACTCAAAGCATGTGCTGTCAGTGAAAGAGTGGAGAAGATGCAGAGAGAAGGAGAAACCAGTGGGCCTGCCCAAAGTGGACAAGGAGCAAACTCTGTCACTGGACAGCTTCTTCTCTTACAACACACTCCACGCTGTGGCCCTTGTCATGCATGCGGCTGTTTCCTCCAGATCCAGGAGGAAGGACATGGAACGTGGAGGCAGGCTAGGTGTGCTCCAGCTTCATCCATGGCAGATATTCCCTCCCCTTCTTAGGTACTGAACTTAGAATGTGATAAATTGAGAAGAGATTTGCAAATGAAGGGGCAGCTGGAACACTCTTTGTCCTGTCCCTGTTTTGGTCCGTTCCCAGAACTGTGTCCATCTGATCTTGGCCTGTAGATTTGCCTCAAGTCATCCTGAAGCAGAACATAGAAGGAGTGTGAGGACTGTATGCGTCCTTGCTCAGATTTCTTTAAATAAATATTATAGGGCTGGCTGTTTTAATTGCTGCTTTCAGAACACCAGGCAATCAGTGTTGGACCTCCTATGCCTGGCTGAAAACAAACTACACTCAGTTTTGACTGCACTCCTGATCCCAGAATACATTCAGGTTCCCAGCTGAGAAGAGCAGGCACTTCTCTCCCAGCTGGAATGGCACTTTCTAGACCAGCAAGCAAGCTTCTAGCAAGCCAGCGAACAAGGAGAGTATTGCAGAAGTTTCACAGTGGACTTGAATTGGAAGAGTAGATGAGGGCAGAAGAAAGCAGACTCTACAAGTCAGCTTGGTGGAGGAGAGGAGAAGGGTGAGAATGCCACAACATGCAGAGAAAGGTAGAATCCAAAATGAAGGAATAGGGACCTAAAAAACTCCCAAATGGAGAGCAGCAACCCCTGTGCCATGTCCCAGTTTTGGTCAAAGATCAGAAAGGAAGACACGTGCAACAAGTGCAAGGCAGCAGCGACCTTGGAAGAAAAAGGGACAGCATCTCTGAAAAGATTGAATGAACTGGTTGTCTTCAGAATGGAGATGAAAAGACAGAAAGGAGGAATGACAGGACTCTTTGAGGAATATATGGGTTCTCAGAAAGAGCAAGGTCATGATTTCTGCTTCATCATCCCAGAATGAAGTGGGGTAAAGGGCTCAAATGACAGGAAGCACTTCTTGGCCCATTTCAAATCTTCTCTTCTAGGATTTCTGCTAGACTGGTCAGAAAGAAATCCTACTATGTATACTGTAATGAACTCCCAGGTCATTTTAGGAAGGATTGGAGGCTGTGAAGAGAACTGCCTGAGCTACTAAGGATTTCTGAAATATTGCCCTCAGAAAAGCTGCACTCCCTTTCTCTTCTGTGAAGATACTTCCATTCTCTGCTTCCTAAAGTTCTAATTACACCATGGACATCCAGCAATGAAATTAGAATCTTGTCCACAATGGAGTCATAACCAGCCACATTAAACCTGAACCAGCTCTTTAAAGAAGAGGGTCATCAGTGGTCATCAGACACCTTGCAAATAATGCAGTGATGCCAAGAAAACAGGAAGGATTTGTCAGGAAGAAATCCATTTATCTAATCAGATTTCACACTTTGATTGGGTAGCCTCCCTGGTGGACTGTGGGAATGCTGTGCAGAGCAGCTATCTGGACTTCAGCAAGGTTTGGACATAGGACAAATTCTATGAGTATGAAGGATGGTCAAATTCAAGAGAATCACATCCACTAAGCATGCTGTTCTGAGAAGTCTGATTAAAATAAATAAATAATCAGTAAAGCTGCCCAAGGGGAGTTCAGGCACCCCCACTGACACCTCGGAGAGATGCCCACAGCCCTCACCCCAACCTTTGCCATCTGGACAAAGGGGGGGAGCAGTTCTAGTGAGCAGAGTTGAGCGGGATGGGCAACCAGAAGGGTTTTCTGGGTCGCACAATCACTGAATACGCAGGGGAAAAATAAGAAATTTATACCTTGGTGGGAGCAAAAGAATGAGATGTAAGCTGCCTTGAGCCCTTTGTAGGAAAAAGGCAGGATATAAATCCAAATAATAATAATAATAATAATAATAATAATAATAATAATATCCTGTCCTTTTCCTTGCATGAGGTAAGGAAGCAGTTTGCATGCTTCTCCTCTACCCTCTTTTCCTGACAACAACAATCCCATCAGGTAGTTTAGGCTGCGGGTGAGTGACTGGCCAAAAGTCATGCAGCAATCATCAAGGATGAGTGGGGATTCAGACCTGATCTCACAGTCCCCATCCCACTTATTACACATGGGACCCCACAGATGGATGCACACCCAAACTCCCCCTGCTGCATCTTCTGAACCAAGAATGGTTTGGTTTCTGCTTGTAGGCATGCCTGTCCTCAAACAGGCTTCATCTCCTGGATTCACAAGCAGGACACATGCAGTCCCAGGATATACACCACAAGGGAAAGAGGATGCCAGAAATGGGTCGTGGGCACAGCCAGTAGGAAAGGAGAAATTTTTTTCCAAGGGAAAAGGAAGGGGGAGGAGAAGACAGAAGGAAAGTTCCTTTCCACCCTGTCCTTCAGAGAGTGCTGGGATGGAGACAGGGCCTTTCCCTCCTCTTGTCCTTTTTGGCTATCTATCTGGGAGCAACATTTTGACCAAAGCAAAGCCTGTCCCATCCCTGGACCTCAAGCTGGGCACTGGGGAAAAATCAGTCTGCACCGTGATGGTGGCCTTCCTCTGAGCTAGTGATGCCTTGGCACGATCTCCCAGGTCCCTGTTGAGCCCAACACAAATTGGAATGGACAAAGCAAAGTTTTAGCAGGGCCAAATTCTGTCTCTAATGAGACCAAACAGGGGGGGGGGGGGGGTAGCAAGTCCATGATGCAGCGGAAGACCCTTTCGGGCCAATTACATAGCACACAAACAAAGGAGTCCCTTGAACCTGCTTGTCCCAAACGGGCCACATCGGTGATTTCTCAGAGTTTGCCTGTATTGCTCATGGGCCTGAGGGAAGTGCACAGGAAGCCACAGAGGTGCTCTAGCCATTAGGCTGTACAATTATGAAAATCATAATGCATTACTGGTTCTCTTGCTTAACCTCATGGAGCCCCATTCCCCAGGACCATCCTGAATTCCTGATGCAAACATGAGATTGCAGAGGTGTGTTTTGAATCCAGGCAGAAAAAGGAAGACACCTCATTCGCTGATTTCATACTCAGAGCTCCGAAGAGGTTGAGGGCAGGGGAAGAGGCTTCCATGCAGGGCACTTCATCTCCTTCATTCCCTTCATTCCCTTCAGCTGAAGGCTTGGCTGACTGGGCACCACTTCCATTTTGGAAGGAAGCCATTCTTCTAACTGTTCCTCTGCTTGGCTGAGAGGGACAGGATGAGGGCTGTGCCAAGTGCCAGCAGAATGGCCCTCTTCTGCCTGCTGCTGCTGCTCCTCCAAGAAGCCTGCTGTGGGATGCTGCAGGCCAAATGCCCCTGGAGCTGGAACAGGGATGAGCAGCATCCACAGAATTATTTCCGGAAAGGAGACTTCATCTTCAGTGCCAGCATCTTTGCAGCAGAAGGAGATTTCAGACCACACAGTTTCAATAAACCCGCCTCTAATGAAAAGATTTTGTAAGTCATTGGCCTGCTTGACCATACACCACAAAGCTCCACGGGCAGTCAGGAAGCACAACTTGCAGAGCAATTTCTACCAGCCAGCTTCTCCCTCATTAATGCCCAGCCAGCAAACTCACAGGAAATGAAGCCCAGGGGAAGCCCAGGGCAATGGGGGCAAAGATGCACCACATTCCTTGCCTGCACATTCCTCTGCCTTGCCTTTCTCCTTCAGTGTGAACAGTTGCACTTGCTGGGCAGGAGCCTTGTGATAGGAATTGGATCTGCACTTGAACTGAATACTGCAGAAATTGGTCTTGGTCTCTTGTTTCAAGTTGGAACCATGCTGAGCTTACAGAATCCTGAGAAGCAGAAAGCAATCTCCAAGGGCAGTTGAAGGATTCACACTCAGGGATTGCAGGCTGATCCATTTTTATTTTAATTTTTTTCAGGTTAGGATCCACATATTACTGGAAGATCCTCTCCTACTTGTTTGCCTTCCAGGAGGTCAACCAGAATTCCAGTCTCTTGCCCAACGTCACCCTGGGCTACAGCATCTATGACAGCCTTCATGATGTTAGACTGACGTCTGATGCAGCCATAGACCTGCTCTCGACCTCTCAGGCCCATGTTCCCAACTACAAGTGTGGCAGACAAAATCATCTGCTGGCCGTCCTTGAGGAATCTGACTCTGACAACTCCATGCAGCTTTCCAACATGCTGGGCATCTTCAAAATCCCACAGGTAAGAGGACTGGGAGGAGCAGTATGAGGTGCCATGTAGGGAAAGCAAAAGATTCCCCAAAAATTTGGCATGGATGATATGCCTTCCAGGACAAGAGACCATCCTACTCAATCCTGAGTTGTAAAGGGTTTAAACCCCCTCTGCCCCACACAAGGCACCCATCTGGCATTGTTAGATTTGAGGATTAACAAAAAGGTCCCTCTTGTATGTTGACTGATCATGAGAAATAGAGGCCAAACCAGCAAGTAATGTTATATCAAACACCCTTATTGTACGTGCACACCCACAAATAAGAGTGAGCCCATCTCCAGTCAAAAGAACATCATGAATCTTCCCTGTGGACATGGTTATCTCAAGCAACACTTCAAGTGTCAAAACAAGTGGCTCCAAGCTGATCATTTACACATTCTGACCTTCCTCGCAAAGGTTGATCTTTTTGACTCTCCTGTTCCTTTCTGATAGATCCCTGAACAATTGACCCTTCCCTTTTGGTCATCGGGAAATATTTGTATTCTTCATTAGGACCAGATGTAGAAAAAATAATTTCTCACCATGGGGTAAGTCTTATCATAGACACCAAGATAGTTTCCTTTTCTTTCCCAGTCATCAAATTCAGAAGGGTGAGGATTATTCTGAGACCCCAGGAAGGTGTCCATGGCATCTGTGTTTGAGCAACCCTACAAACCAATTCTGCCATATCTGGGATCAAGTCTTGGGAAATTTATTCCAGGAAGGAAAATCTGGAGATTCACAAATGTTCAGGCTAATCCCAGCATCCATTTGTCAGTGTTTACAACTTACGGTGCTAAAACACTCATTTTTAAAAAAATAACTAGCATTACGTGTTTTTGAATCATGTTTCAAAGAAATATTTAATGGAGAAATGGTCATTTCTCAAGAGTTGAGGAACTTTGATTTGGTCCTGAAATAAAGCAATTGATCAGTCTCTTCCTTTCTTTTCCAGGTCAGCTATGCATTCACTTCTCAGGTTCTGACAGAAAATAGTTGGTCCCCTTCCTTCTACAGGATGATCCCGGAAGAAGGCATCCAATACCCAGGGATTGTCAGGCTGCTGCTGCATTTCAAGTGGACGATGGTTGCACTGGACACTGAGAATGGAGACAAGTTCATGAGAACCTTGAAAGTGGAGCTCCTCAGGAATGGCATTTGTGTGATTTTTTCACGCAGCATCTCACAACTGAAATCAGGCAAAGCAGGAATCCAGCTGCGGTCACTGGAGGAGCTGGTAGAAATCAATGTCTTTGTTTGCTTTGCAGAGATCTATTTCTTGTTCTATGGAACAGAATTTGTGCAAAGGGCTATTGAAATGCTTCTGAAACCTGTTAATGGGAAAGTCTGGATCACCACAACTTTGAGTGACTTTACCTTGGATTTAGCTTATACAAATATTATAACTATATTCCAGCATGTCTCTGCATATTTTTCCTTCATTCCACAAACATTTAAAAGGTTCAACTATGATGGTTTTCAAGATTTGTATATCTCTATGAAGGAATTTGTGAATAGAGCATTCAAGTGTTCATACTCAAAGCATGTGCTGTCAGTGAAAGAGTGGACAAGATGCAGAGAGGAGAACCCGGAGGGCCTGCCCCAAGTAGACAAGGAGCAAACACTGTCTCTGGACAACTTCTTCTCTTACAACACAGTCCTTGCTGTGGCCCGTGCTGTGGATGCAGCTGTTTCCTCAAGATCCAATAGGAATTCCATGGAACGTGGAAACAGGCTTGATGTGCGTCAGCTTCATCCATGCCAGGTATTCCTTTCCCTTCTTGGGCATTGACTTTGAATATGAAAAATGGGGAGGTGCTTTTCCAAATGAAGGGGCAGCTGGAGCACTCTCTTTTCTGGTCCCTCTTTTGGTCCCTCTACTGACTACATGGGCCTTTTATCTGGTTGTGTCCCGCAGAGTTGCATCAAGTCATCCTGTTATGGCATTTAGTAAGAACTTGAGGACTGTACAGGTTCTTGCTCAGATTCCTCAACCTAAAATAATAGGGCTTGCTGCATTGCCTGGGTTCAGAACACAGGGCAATCCATGTTTGACCTGCTATGCATTGCTGAACACAACTCACACTCAGTTGTGTCTGCATTCCTTATCCCCGGAACTTTCATGTTCATAGCTGAGAAGAGCAGGGGCTTCTGTCCCAGCTGGTCTGGCACTTTCCAGACAAGCAAGCAAGTTCCAGTGAGCAAGATGACATGGAGACTTAGCCGGAGTTTGGCAGTGGAGTTCTAGTGGAAGAGGCCAAGGAAGAGGAAAGCAAGTTGCACTGGTCTCCTTCTTTAGCCATCTTGGAAGAACAAGTGAGAGTGCTGCAGTGGTGAATGTGAACCCTCAAGGCAATGAGACGATGGTGCATTTGAGGTCAAGCACAGCAGCTGCAACTTTCAGTGTAGTACAGGAGCCAGAAGAGCAAGAGGGATCAGTGGGTGAAAAAGAGAATCCTGAGCAAGTGAAGATGAGGAGGGAAGTCCCTGGAATAGGGGGCAGTCAGGAGCAAAGGAACCAGAAGATGATTTGCACTACTGAAAGAAGAGGAACCATGCGACCACTTTCAGCACCTCGAAAGACAGACTCACAGGCTGCATGTAACCAGCAGGGCAGACCTAGCGGACAAAGCAGCAGCTGCAATAACCCTGGGGAAAGCGCCCATACTAAACTTGAATTCCTATTGAAGGCAAATCCAAGTGTAGTCAAACTGACAGCTGTAATGTCAGGTAAGCCCATTTGAAGACGCTCAGAAAGATCCTAACTCAAGTCCCATGTCAAATGACTCTGAGGAGGAAAGCAGTCCCTGATAGATGGGATTTTTTAAAAAGCAATTCTAAAGGCAGAATTCTATACTTTTCAATCCAAGATAAGAAAAGGAAGACAACCGAGAAAGCCTCTTCCATGCATTTTTCCCAAAAGGGGCTCTGATGATGATTTGAACACCAACCTGCCCAACCCACAGTGACATCTCTAGGAAGCAGGAAGAAGGACAAGCTACAAGTGGAGAAAGCGAGCAAGAAGCACAGAAGGGAAGGGGTAGCATCAGGAAGATTAAGCAGAGAATGAGAGGGGTTAGTGAGGGATACTAAAAGCAACCCAAAGTCGCTGCAGATGGCGAAACGATGACAGAATTCAAGAAAGCCTGACATTTTCAGCTTGTTATTAGACTCTGTCTTGTCTCAAAAGAGGAGTAAGGAACCCCCTGCAGGATGGAAGGATATGCAGAAGATGCATGATGGGAGATCAAGTTTGAAAGGAAAAGGATAAATGATCTTCTACCCCTAATGAAGGAGCCAATCTCTAGGGCCTGATGAACTGCATCCAAATGTTAGAAAGCAACTGGCAGAATAGGTATAGCAACCACTGTCTTGCTCTCCTTGAGAAGTGCCAGATGGCTGCAGAAAGCCTCATTTTGACCTCACCTTGAGGAAGGGAAAGCTGGAGGTCTCTTAGAATGACAGAACAGCCGATCTGGCACAGTGCTACAGTGCTACAGAAAAATCTGGAGCAGATTGTAAACCTACTGATCTTGAGACACCTTGGAAATAATGCAGTGATGCTGAGAAACCTGTACGGATTTATCAGGAAGAAATCCTTTTTATCTAATCAGATTTCGCATTTTGATTGGGTAACCTCCCTGGAGGACTGTGGGAATGCTGTGCACATCATCTCTCTGGACTTCAGCAAAGCTTTGGACAAATTGCTCCACATTATGATTAGCAAACTAACTCCAAGTGAGGTAGATAGAACAACTCTCAGCTGGATGCTCCTTTGACTGGAGAATCGGACCCAGTGTGCTCACCAATGGCCCCTTCTGAGATCAAGGAGAGGTAACATATAGAGTACATGGCCCAGTGCTCTTCAACATTTGCTTTGATGATTTGAATAAGGAAGTGCAGGGAATGCTGATCAGATCTGCACATCTCATGTGTTCTTTATGGTACCATTGTAGACAGAAATTGAATGTATAGAATCTCAGAAGAAGAAATACGAAAGCTTTCAGAAGAGGATTGCAAGGATGATCTGTGAATCTGAAACTAAGGCATGTGAGGAGAGATTGAATGAACTGGGCATACTTAACCTAGAGATGAAAGGACTGAAGGGAGTTATCATAATACTCTTCAAGGACTGGATGGGTTGTCACTAAGTGCAAGGCCGCAATCTCTGATTGATCATTCCAGAGTGCAGGATTGGAATAAAGACCTCAAGTGACAGGAGGCACTTCTTGGCCCCTTCCAAATTCCCTGTTGTAGGATTCCTG